CTTAAATTTTAAATGATTTTAAAGAAAAGCTACTAAAAAAAAAATGAAAAATCCTAAAAGAACTTTAATCTCTAAAATTAAAATAAATAAGCGATATAAGTGATATTCATTCTTAGATAATCTGAGAAAAATATGCAAATAAATTAGAAATTCTTTTCGATAAAATTGGTACTTCATAAAATTACAAATTTTATAAATTCTTTTACAATTTCGTTGAAATTTTATCAAATCATATCAAATCAAACAGAATAAAAAATTTTAAGATTAGCGAAAAATAAATGAATAAAGAAGAGATCAAAAGAAAAATTTATTGCTGATCACTAGAAATATTTATGGAAAGTAATTAATACAAAGTCTATGAAAAAAATTTTTTTTTTCAAATTATTTTTTTTTATTGGTAATTCAATATTTCGATATTAAAAAATAATCATTCGCTATCAGCTATTGTTTTGCCAAAATATCACTGAATAATCATTAAAATAAGACGATAATCTGAAATAAGCTTATCGAAAATTTTAAATACAACAACATTGATTTTGGTTTAAAAAAACAAAGAAACCAATTAAGATATATCGCGAAAAATTCTTATTGAATTTAATAATCTATAATAGACAAGAAAAAAAATCTTTTTGGAAATTTATTAAGAAAAATTTAAAATCTAAATTAAAATTCTTCATTTTATTCAATTCAATTCGAGCATAAATCATTTATAATTGTGAGCGTATTGAAATTTTTTTTTAGTGAAAAAAATGAAAATTAAAAATTAAATTAAAAATTAAAATTAAAAAAATTAAAATATAAAATACAATTTTTTTTTCTTACAACTTAATTTCTTGAATTGCCAAAATTTAACACACAAATTTACATAATATTTTTTTATATAAAGAATTTACATAAAGTTTGATAAAAGATCTGCTTGGTTTGCATTTGTTGTGGTGGTATTTTAATTTTGTCACCATTCGGTAGAATTTAAATTCAAATTTTTGGTCATTAATTATGCTAAAAAAATTGAAGGTTATAAAAGGTATGTGTTTCGGTTCCTTTTTCTTTTGACTTGAAACAATAGCATTAATTTGTAAGTTTCTTATCGTCAATGGTATCTTGGACTGTTGAAAGACGAGGAGTTTATTGATAATTTTATATTGATTTATATTTATAGAATAAATAATCGCAATTTTGGATTTTATTTATATTTGGATTGAATTAAATTAATTATTTAATTAATTAATTTTAATTAATAATCTCGCATATGAAACAATCAGTTAATCTCGTATCTGAAAATTTATCTTTTTTTTCTAAACCCATAATTTTTGGCTAATCTCGTTCTGCTGATTTGTCAGGTTAAATAAAATTTGCCAGGGAGAATTTTGCTTATTATCATGAATTCGTAAATGTCGATGATGGATTGATTTTCTGCAGATCTGAACCATTCGTTTTTCAGAAAACTCTCATTTTTCAGTTTTTCTTTCAAAATATTACTGGTGATCAACCTATACCTAATCTTCAAGCGGTTAGGCAATAAAATTTGCCAAAAATAAGAAGCTAGCAGAATGAGCCTAGTGATAAATATTGAGCGCTCTTCAAAAAGCGAAAATATTTCCTAAAAATATCTCTTTTCGGAAAGAGAATAAATAAATTGATAAAATTTCGAAAATTTATATTGGTTTTAAATTTTTTATTGTTTGAGGCAGAAGGTATTATAGATGCGAGTTTGAAATCTGTAAAAATATTGCAGCGATTCTAGAATGAAAAAAAAAGGTGAAAATTTCTTGTAGCAGAAGTTTTTTTCCACGACAATTTTGCATCGATAAAGATTATCACTCAATCTACTAAATTATAAAGGCAAATTTTGGCATTTTTATCAATTATTAATTGTTTTCAAAAAGAATTAGAGGAATTTTGATGATTTTCAATTTTTTAAATTTCACATGCTAAAATATAATTGTTATTTCATGAAAAATGTGAAAAATCTAATGAAATGCTCTCTATACTTAATTCTTCTTCTTCTAACAGCTCTCACCACTACTAATTAGGTTTCGCCGGCTATAAGGGTAAGACGTCTCCAAGCTGTTCGGTCCGACGCTCATCACTAGTAGTAATAGAAGCCATTCCTTTTTCCATCGTCCAAGTCCATATCGCTGATCCCTCTACACGTTCAAAATATTTCTTGACAGTTTCAGGTCTTGATTGGTCCTCCTCGCTTTTGACGCCAACTATTATAGGGTTTAGCAAGTAACGAAATATACGTGAATTCCTGTGGTGGCCGACGGAGAAAGTGCCTTAACCAGCCAAGACGATGCTCTGGGATAATTAATACATGTGGTATAAACACAGGTAAGTGAAAATGGATACAGTCATGCGCGAATTTTTCCTTTCGACAGATCCGTGAAATCTATCTCAGACATGAGGGGTCAAAGGCTAATAGGTTCTTAATATCTTTTACTCTCATTGGCCATGTTTTGCAGCCATATATAGCAAGGTCGAGTGAACTCCAGATATATGAACGCAGATTTTCATCTTTAGTGAATTCGCGACGATTCCATAAAGACAACAGGAAAAACAAATTTCTAGCTGTTGTTATCCAGGTTACAATACATTCATTAAGGGCTGGAGTGGATCCAAGGCGTTTAAAGTCAAGCTTCAACCGGTAATAAATTGATAAAAACAGGTATTTTATCAGTTTCTTATATATAAGACTAAAAGACTTTCGTTTTGTATACATTGACCCTGAGTCCTATTCTTGCTGAAGTTTCTGAGTTATTCAGCATTACTCGCATAATTGTTAGCAGAAAGGGCTACATCACCAGCGTATTCAAGATTTGTGATACGATGCTTTAGATTGATTTGGACCTCTTGAGTGCCGACAAGCAATGTCCATTATCCAGTCTATCGCATTGTGAGGGAAAGGACGCAGTCCTGATGGACACCAGTTCTTATTTCGAAGGAGCCTGTCAATTCCCCACATATAGATCTGTACCAGGATGTTCTGATAAAATGCTTTTATGAGCCGAATGATCTTCTCTGGGACACCGTCATAATCCATCACTTTCCAGAATGCCTCTCTATCAAGCGAATCGAAGGCGTAAAATCGATAAAGCAAATGATGGTTGTTGCTGTATTTGAAACGATGTTCCAGCTACCTTCCTGGCTTAAATATCTGGTCAGCGCAACAGCGTCCCGGTCTAAATCTAGCTTAGTTAAGAAGTGTTGCCATGAGTCTATTTAGAGGGAAAATGAAAAATTTTCCAGAGATTTCCAGTAGGCTAATTCCTCTGTAATCATCGCAGTATGTTCTGTCACTTTTCTTAGGAATTGGAAGCAGAATTGCTTTGCTCCAATCTTCTGGTATTATTTTCTTTTGCCATACCAGAGGATATATTTGTTGAAGGTGAGTTATGAACAATTATGGACAAAATTTGAAGAGTTCGGCATGAAGACCATCTTCTCCGGTAGTTTTATTAGCCGTAAGCTTATGGATTAGAGATTGGAGTTGAGATTATTTTCTCCTCTCTTGGAGGTTCACAGTTGCAAAAGTAAGGCTCTATGGGCGAATCAATTATATTCGGGACAACAAATGAAACATCGTGGTTAAATTTGGCCTCAAAAAAATTTGGCTTCTTTCCATCTTCTGAGGCGATCTTTAGCAGCTTTAATAGGCACTCTATTAATATTCCGTATTATTTCACCGACCTCTTCTCGAATTATAGTTGCTTTGTGAAGAAGGCGGAATGTTTCCAATTATCACCTATACGAGATGCCGTTTCCATTCTTAAGACCACATCGCTCCAATAGCGATTTCTGTCTCGCCATGCTGCTATGGTAATTCTTCGGAACATCCGATAATCAGAATCTCTTGATAGTCGAGCTTTGGCAGGTTTTTCAGACAGTTGGACAGTAGCTTCCGACACCCAGCTATACTTCCTATTAATATAACCTAGTGTAGAATTGGCTAACTTTTGTAGGCATGTCTTTAATTGCGACTATTATTCATTCGCCTATCCAGAGATGTTCATTTCACTGAGAGATTTTCAATGTGCCCAGCAGCCATCCTCTATACTTATTTATATACATATTGTATCTATATTATTTATATATTTCACCTTTTATATATTATAAATGTCTTTATTATTTATTATATATATATATTTATTTATATATTAATTTTTATATTTATATTTATATTATATATTTATTATATTTATTTCACAATTTTTTCACCCTCTTTTTATTTATTTTTATATATTCTTATCAACAATTCTTAACACTTAACTTGTTCAATATTTTCTGCGCACAATTTTCCAAATAAAATTTTGCAGAAATCTGTATTAAATGCTGCTAGATAAATGATTTGTCTTTTAATCTATACATAGACGCTGATTTGACTTTTTAAATTTTTCAACGAGAGAAAATTTGTAAATGAGTGGTTTTATGGCGAAGCAATAATATTCGAAATATTTCAAATCTATTTCGAAATATTTCGATGATTTTAAGCAAAACATTTCATATAAGCGATATTTGATTTTAGAATATTTGAAATTGATTCTTTTCTCATTTTTCAAATCAAATTAAATTATTTAGGCAAAAAAAATTAAAATTAAAAATTAAAAAAATTTCTTTGTTCGTAAAAATTAGCTTGTGAGAGGCAACAACAATATATAATATTTTAATATTTTATTTATTATTTTAAACAATTCTTGCATTTCAGCCAGAAATGACAAAATTCATCCAATATCTTTCATATTCTCAGGTTAACTGATATATTGATAAGATAATAAGGAGTAATTGATAACCTATGATAACTTATAATAAAGTTGAAGAAATAATCAACAACAAAAAATTTTATAATGCTGTTTTTTTATATTCCATGGCATATACCATGAACATTTAAATCAAAAGCTAATTATTGAGAATTTATGCTTTAAATTGTGAAATAAAAATTATGACAAAATAGAGATACTTTTATCCCATTCAGCCTCGGCTAAGAGAATTTTGATTTCATATTAATTTGAAAAAGAATAATCACAGATTGGTGGAAGAGAACAACCATCTTGTTTAATAATTGCTAGTGCTGCATATTGACCACATTTTACTGCCTTTTCGATAGATTTGTTCTGAATGTATTCCGCCAGGAAACCTAAAATAGCAAAATTAAAATCATGAAAAATTTCAAAGGTATTTTATCATATTTTTTACAAAATAAAAATTAAAACAATACAAAAAATTGTAAAAATTAATTAATAAATTAATAAATTATTTTATTAATAATGAAAAATTATAAAAAATAAAGAATGAAATTAAGAAAATAAAAATAAAAAATATTAAAAATTAAAAAAATTTATTAATATTGCCTATAAAAAATTTAAAAAAAAAAATGAAAAACTAAAGGATGCACCTCCAACAAATGCGTCACCAGCGCCATTCGTATCTCTTATTTCATCTATGGTGAGTTTAGTTACGGGATATTCTATTAAATTATTTCCTTCAACAACAATTATAGGATCACCACCTTGAGTAATCACCACGATTCTATGTCGATTATTATTCAACTGAAAATTTATTTTACAATTTTTTTTAAATAATTATTCTATTTTATTTCTATAATTATTTATTAAATATTTTATTTTCATGACGATTATTCTATTATAAAAAAATATGCCTTAGGCATAATTGCAATTTTTCGAACGATATCTTTTAAATCTTTTTCTTTAAATTTATTAGCTGCCGCAAATGCTTGTGCTTCTTCTGCATTACCAAATAGAATATCAATATAAAGGAACATTTCTAATAAAAGATCCAATGAAAACATTGATATATAAGGAGCAGCAAGATTCATCGAAAAAGTCTGCAAAAAATTTGTATTCGAATTTAATTTTTTTTTTATTATTCATTAAATCTATATTTAAATTTACATTGATAATTTTATCAGCGAATATTATCAATAGTTTTAATCTTAAATTAATATATTTTTTAGGAGCGAGAATAAGATTAATTAATGAATAAAATATCTTTATTTATTTATACTTTGTTATGCGCTAATGCATGCTTCGCGATTTCCGATACTGCTTGTGGACAAACCGGTAAGAAAAAAGCCTAAAATAAACAATTTTAGTTTATCATCTAAATTTTTCCCTTTTCCAAATGTTTTTTTATTTTTTAGCAAAATTTGTCTGTTTTCGTTTAGAAACAAAAATAATAAGCGACAATAGTAAACTGTCTCATTTTCGTAAAATAATCAGGAATGAAACAATCCAAGAAAAAAGTTGTTTGCCTATAAAGAGAATTCTTAAAGATCACAAAGTGCATGGAAAGAGATTATTGAGACTAAATTTTTGACTAAAATGAGGCATCCATCGCGTTATCAGTTATAGCTAAAATGCTCATCAATGGAACTGTGAACTATCAATAAGAAATAATTCCTATCTTTCAGTCGTCTCACAAGTGATCTATTCAAATGGTGCATAAAGAGTTCTTTGAAACTCGTCTTCAGAGAATGACAGTAACAGGAATTACTAGTCTACTAGACATCTCCGATAAAATTTTCTCTTCAGTTTTGATTAGACAATGATTAGACGAATTGGTCTTAAAGATAATATAGAAGAATATTTCAAAGGCTTAAAAATAATATAAATCAAATACTCACTTCGAACCATTTGAAGCGTTTTGAATTATTTTGCAAAAAATTGAAAAAAAATTAATTTCAATTTTTAAAGTAAGATAATTAAGTCTATCGTAATTTATCTAATTATCTTTGGTAATTATATAATTTTGATATAATACAATTATATTCAAAATTGATAAATTAAAGCTATGGAGGACAATGGAATGCGGCGGTGATCCACAAGAGATCATAGGGATTACTAAGGCATATCAGTGCATATCAGTGATAATCTGCGTATTTGGGAAGTCTGATAGCTTTTCGAAATAAAAATTGGTATTTTCCAGTCGACACATTATTTCTCGCACTTATAATATGCGATAAATTGGACAATGGATATCACCAGTCAGAAGAGCTATAGAGTCACACATCTTAAATATGCTAATGACATAGTCCATTTGGCTGATTACTGAATTCGATTACTGATGGGTGAACCACAATAGATATTAGATAACGCATGCAAAATAAGATAAAATTCTTTTCGTTATATATATCAGATACTGAGGAAATATCTATTTTTATAATTTCAACATCGATTTGAGAAGTGATAGATTTTTTAAAAAATATTTTGGGTCTTCCACTTTTCTACTAACCAAGTGATAGACCGAAGTCTTGCGCGGAAAATAGTAGCTACCACTGATTTTTTAAATTTATTTGTTTGACCTCCACTAAAATCGTAGCGAAATCACAATCAAAATGAAGGCCGCTATTTTAATTTATATGACTACAAAGCTTGAAAATATGAGTTATGAAAAGATATCAAGAATTTTTCTACAACATGGCAACAGAATTTTGCCTATGTTGGTTAAGTCATTTTTTTCCTACCCATCATAAAAATTAGTGCATAACTGGCTAAAGGATGAACATTTTCTATATGGATGGTGTCGAAAGTAAGGTGGATCAATCAAGATCTGGGCTGATGCAATTAGAAGAGAATTGGAAAGTAAGCCCAGCAATATGTGAGCTTTTTTTAAATCCTCACAATCACTGGTTAGATTCGTTCCGCTGGCTTGTCGCACAATATGCCATGAAATCTCTTAGCAATAGAAATTTAGATGAAACGCCAGTAGATTTTTGAACAGGTTTACTGCAATGGGAGAACACCGACGCTCTGAATTATGCTACAACCCACTAAGTCATTCTATTCCTTGATATTTGAGCTTAGATAGTGGAAAAAAGAATGTCTGCTGTTGCTTTCAAGTATGGCCTTGGATCGAAGTCTCTTATGAAACCATGTAAGGGAAGCCTAACTAGGATTAATGCGAGCTGTTCAAAGAAATCAAAAATAGATTTTTGAAACAATAAGGTGAAAATTATCAATTATCAATTAAAAAAAATTACCGATATATAGAAGAATTTTGCTTTTTCGATAAGTTTTTTATTTTCTGGCTTAATGATATGATCAATGGTGAATGTATTCGCTGCTGCTAAATCAGCGCAAAGTGAACTGCAAAATCATAACAATAATTTGCAAAAAGAAAAAATTTTTTACGATATTTGATAAGTAAATTTGAAATTTTTTTATAATACATCATAATACATCATCAGACGAAATAAAAAATTGTATGGTACCGATGTTCTTTATATATTAAAGCAGCACAAGTACCAGTTTTCACGTCATCATTCACTTGAAATTGAACATTAACTCCAGCTGCGCGACATTTTTCAGCGAGAATTTTACCGTATTTATCATTTCCTATAGCACCAAAAAATGTTGTCAATTTTGGTGTATTAAGCAACCACTAAAACAAATATTTCTAGAAAAATTTTTGCAGTGAAAAAAAATTTAAAAAAAAAAATTTTTAGAAAGATTTTCAAGAAAAATATTGCGAGACAAAACAAAAGGCAAAAAAAAAGAAAAATTATCTCTATAATCATTTGTCATGTTCATGCAAAAAATTTATTTATTACTTTTCAAAAATTGCCAAATTTCATCAAAATGTTTCTAATCTTAATTGAATATCGTCCTAATACCACCAAATCTGCCTTTAAGCCCAATTATCATCACCATTGCACCTTTTTTTCGAAATCTTCGATCTTTCCCATAACCTTTCAAGACTTTCCAACTCTGTTATAACTCTCTATAAACTTCTAGGAATTTTTCAATATCCTTTTAAGCTTCCTCAGTTTTCCATTAAACTCGCAATTTTATTTAGTCATACAAGAATTCATTAAAATTCATCTTACACCATCAGACATCTCTCTAGCTTCTTGATACGTTATTCCAAAATTTAGACGACTTTCCACAACCTCAAGCTTCCTCTCCGGTTTTTTTTAGTATTCTGCATCGTACACCGTACTCCTTTCTTAAAACCAAATGATAACGCTTCCATGGGCTTCTCAAACGCTACTTTGGTCCTCTGATGTCGCATGATCCAATAATATTAAAAAGCACTGCGATATATCTCGGATCATGCAAGCCTCTTTAATACCTCTTAAAACGAATAGTTTCTAAAAAATCTTCCAAAACACTGAATTCGAGATATATAGCAGAGTTTCAAATATCTGCTTAATATCTCTAATCACTTCACTGTACTCTTTCGTCATAATCCATCGACGGAACATCATTTTAAACGCTTTTAATTCTCCAAATCCAGTTAATACAATTAAATATAATACGCATCTCTTGGAGCTTAAATTTCGCAATACCTATGGAACTGTCAGATGTTGACAAATCATAAAATTTTAAAAGGGCAGCATAGAGAGATAAAGGCAATAAAGAGAGATGAGTAAAAATATCGAAAAATATTATTTGAGCATGAATTTGAGTGATAAGCTCTTCGAATTGATAAACCTATTACAACATCGACAAAATTCTCAAAATACCTTAATCGTTAAGTGTAGTTGCGTATTTTTTTAAAATATCTTTTGAATCTCTCTCTCAACTATCAAACTTCGGTCCAAATACAAACAAAAATTGTATAGGTCCATTATATTGAAATCGTTTAATTTCCTCAAAAAATGAAAAACTCTGTTAAATATCCATGCAATGCTCGAAACAATGCTATAGTTTGACAATAATCTATTGGCAAATATCAATTAAAATTCCATTCTATCGCTTTAAATCCGGTTTACTTTATTACTTCATTCTCTCAATGCACTTCTCAATGAATTTTTGATATTAGGCGAATATGAATTAAAGAATCGCATGAAATATCATCAAGGTTAGTGGGAATGTTGAAGGAGGACAGAAGGGAAAGGTAAGTGGAAATGTTGAAGGAGGGCAGAAGGGATTTAAGGATGTTAATATTAAAAATAAGAGGAATAAATGTGAAAGAAAAGATAAGGGAATAGAACGAATTTCGAGAAAATATCAGCAAATAAAATAAGGTTTGAAAGCAATTCTGCTAGCCGTAGAGCAAATCACCTTGCTAATTTATTGTAAGATAAATGACGGATAAATGACGAAATCGTCGCAAACCTGACAAACTCGAAGCGAATTTAAAGTCGCACCACCAGGAATATAAGTAACATCGAATTCATTCATGAGTTCATCGAACCTAAAATAATTTACTAAAGAAAATAAAACGGTTAATTACTTTGTAACAGTGACAGTGATAAAAAATCAATTTTATCAATCTCAATACCTGAAATTGAATTAAAAAATTCGTTATCACCTATCAGTTAATAAATAAAAATATTAAAAATTAATTCTTATTGTTAAAAAATCGAAAAAAAATAACATTGGAATAAGACTTTCGTCGGCGACAATCGAATCATTTTCTTTCAAATTCCACTTTTTGAAAAATTCCTGATTATCTATATGTGTTTGTATATCCAATAATGGATTTCCACAACCCAATAAAATTCCTTCAAAATGCATCTGAATTTATTTATTTATTCATTTTCGAAATAGGACCGATTATCAGCTCAAATAAGCGCATAGATAAAGAATAATTTAAAAAAACAACAAAATTTAAAAAAGATTCACAAAGATAATTGTTGAAAACTTCATTGAATATATCAGTGATACGCTTCAAATACAATACAAAATGAATATCCGGACAAATGGAGGTATTTAAGATATCAACTTGATAGGCGGTGATAAGCAATAATAAAGCAATCAACAACAATTCTAAGTCAGCATTTAATTGCAATAAGAGAAGGGAAAATTAGAGGATAGCGAGAAATTGCCAAATATAATATTTGCTATCAATCATTGCAAAATTACTCATTTTTGCTTGATAATAATGCAATAAAAAAACTGTATATTTAATAATATTTTTAATATTTTTAAATGAAGGAATTTTCGATATAAAAATAAAAATTATCAATCATTTTCGCATTCAATCAATTTTTTTAAATCAATTTTTCTATCGAATTGATTAAACAAAATTAAAACTTAGAGAAACGAATAAAATTACTTTATTAAATAATCGTTCAATAAAAATCAATCAAAATGAAAAAATAAAAATTAAAAATCATATTTGATATATCATATCAATTTTTGATTAATTGACTGGTTAAACTCTAAATTTTTTTTTCAATTTATCACAAAGAAACAAAATGGAAAGAAGAAAAATGGAAAATGGAAAATTGAAATGGAAATGAAAAAAAAATTTCAATATAACTAGGAAAAAATGATATAATGAGAGAAAACTTGCATCTATTTCACTTATCACAAATTGAAAGTTTAAGCAGCTGTTTAATAAAAAAGAAATTAGAACTGTTGAATGGCGAAAATCAACAAAAATGATATGAATATTCTCTCTTCGATTCAGTAACAATTCAAATTAATAAAATATATAATTTTTTTGTTTTTTAAAACCCTCACCATTACTAGTTAGACTCGCTCCAATGACTTGTCGTAGTAGAGAAATATGCTAGGTAGTCGCTTGGCGATAGAAATACAAATGAGTCGCCCCAATATCGCTCATTTGGATTTTTTGTACAGGTTTACTCCATGCTGAGAATAGAATATCGGCGCACCGAATTTAGCAACAATCCACTGAGCCATTCTATTCCCTAAAAAATCTAAATTATTATTATCATTTCTTTAGTAAGAAAATCTAAAATTTCTTTCATTCCAATTAATTGGAGAATTGGAGAAAAAATTTAAGATTTTTTTAAATTCGCAATTCCAATCCGTTTTGTTTTATCTAAAATCATTCTTTATAAAAGTTTAAATTTACGGAAAAAAAACCAATTAGCAAATAATTAAATTTTAAAATTACTAATTACTAATTTACTAATTACTATTACTAATTACTATACAATTACAATAACAGTACAATTACTAATTTTTTGGCAAATAAAAATAGAGACGATTTAGATTAAAATTTATTTTAGCGTTTTATTAATAGTGAATGGCGTACTAGCGTAAACGAGTATTTAACAAGTACTATTTCTCTTATTATTAATATTATTTCTCTTATTTTCCTACTAAAGAAAAGAACAAAAATAAAAATTTTTAAAATTTAAAAATTCTTATAATAAAAGAAAATTTTTTCAATTTTTTTTTTTTTTTCAATAAGACAGGAAGATAACGAAAAAATAGAACCGAAAAGAATGGAAATATTATTTATATGATGCGACGAATTTCACATGTGGAATAGATGAACTGTAAAACTTTAGGCATACAAAATAGAATAAATAAACGAATAAAAGCCCATCTATATGATTTTCGAAATATAATTGCTATAGAAAAACTTGTTATTTTATTGTTATTTTATTTGTTATTTCTAGAGGTCATATCAAATTCCTAAATTTTACCGCTCTATCCCCCCCCCCCCCCCCCCCCCCCCCCCC